TTGATTGAGCCAAAGTTGTTCTCCAACTTGGGGGTGGGTGTCCCGAGACTTTCTTTACTACCAGTATGGATGAACCATGACAGTAATTCCTCACTTTTCCCCGATCTCCCAAACCTGGAAGTGTCCCAGAGAAAAGGAAACCTTGATTCTTCAGATGGTCAAGAACTAGATGAAGTTCCCTGCTCTCTCAACCATAAGCTGACATCAAAAGAAGGGCTCAGGGGCGAGAAATCTTGTCTGGTGGTGCTTCTTTCTTTGGCCCCAAAAGACCAATGACAGGAGAGTGATACCCCAGGGAGCTTGGGCAGTAAGTCATTTTCTGACCATTCTCTGCACCAGAGAGCTTGTGTGCTCCTCTTGTCCAATGACCCTTGATGTCTCAGGAGTGGGGAGCCTTTCTATATGCAGGTGAAATTAATTCCTTTACATATGTATTAAATAAATGCTTGCTGAGCTCTGACTATGTGCCAGCTACAAGGTAGATAGTGTCTTGACCACTTGGAACTTGCTCTCTAGTGATGGGAGGAAAGGGTGTGCAGGTGTGTAAAGAGGTCTAGCAATAGCCTGGCAAACTTGTAGGTATTAGCATGGGCTCCGTGCTATGGAAGCAGCCTGAGCAGACTGGAGAGGAAAACTGAGTGCAGGAGTGATGGGGGCTATGACCCAGCACATGGCAGGAGAGGCCAGACTTCTAGGCACCCATATTTGCATGGAGGCTTCAAAGCTAAAAAGGTGCTAGTTCATCATGCGAAGAGCACAGGAAAGATAGTTCTGGGCTAGAGAGAAGTCAAGAGCAAAGGCTTTTCTAGTAGAAAAAGGGTTTACTCCTTAAAAGTTACTGCTGCACATGAATCTTGGTGAGCAAGAGGGAGGGAGCCAGAGCTGCTGGCTGATCCTACAAGTCTCGTGAGATAGTGCAATGTACTTGAGGCTGACTGAGTGCAGCAGGGAGGAACCAAGTGCCAAATCTGGGGTGTTATGATATATATATATATCATATATATATATATATCATATATATATATATATATATGGTATATATATATATCATAACACCCCATATATATATATCTTTCACTGTATTTTGTAAGAGGCAGTCTACCTTCTTTCTCCACCCCAGATATTAGTAATACCTGATTGAGAAGAAGACACAAAGTTTATGCTATTAAGATCTGAAAGATGGAAAATGCAATTTGGAGCTAAGTAGAAGATATTCTTCCAGGACACAGAGAATTGCCCAAGAAAAAGTATAAAAATTAGACATGTATACAAGTACAACATATAATGGATGGATCTTGAGGTATTATCTGCGAAATCTTAAGGAGCAGGCAACTTGAAGTGCCCCCAGATATTGCAGGGGCAAGCAGAGACAAGGTGGAATGAAATGGCAAAGAGGGGGAAGTCAGGGCTCTTGTGCTGGAAACCAAGCTTGCAAGTGACTAGAAAATGAATACTCGATAATCATAATGACTTTATGCTTTTACTTATAAAAAAGCACCTATAAGATTTCCTAAATGTAATGTGACATAGATGCCTGACATATTATCCTAAACCAAGTTCCTCTAACCCAGTGTTCAAGCATATGTGTCTCAGAGATGACCTCTTCCCTTCATCAAGTAGTTCCAAGAAAAAAGAAAGTTAACATATTTTAGCTGAACTGATTGTTAAAAGCTCCCTGTTCCCTGCTCCTGCTCAGGTGCACCACAACCCTCCTTCCCAAATCACTAAGATGTCTAGAGATGATTTGGAAGGACTTGGATTTGTTAATTAACCTAAACAGTCACATTCATCTGCAAGGTACATTATTGTTAATTAAAACTGCGATTCTCCTTGTGCCCAGACGGGCGGGCTGCTGTTGTCTGAATAATTAGATAGCAAACGATGGTTTTCATGCAAATCCTTGGCAATTAGAGTTGGCAATGAATTGAGTTTGAAATCCCAGTGAAGTTCTCAATCAGAATTCCCCTGAGGGTGACTCTGGGAGAAAGTGGATATTGGAGAGAAGGCCTGGCAAATGGGAATGGGTGAAGAAGGATGTGAGGACAGGGTATTTGTCTCCTGAACCCTTAAGAGAGAGGCCACAGCCTGATATATATAAAATATGAGCCTCAATGTGATATTCCAACTTCCCTCAAGAAACAAGTCTCTTTCCTTAATGCAAATTAACCCTCCCCAGGGCTTGGTAAGTTCCCAAGAGCTTACCTCTCTGACTGTCATCTCTCTGAGAGGATCTTTTTTCTTAGCCAGAAGGCTTAATACTTCATATACAGCTAAAGTCCCTGCCAACCTTCAGATTAAATTCTTAAGGAGCCTAAGGAAACAGGATTTGTATTCCTGAAGAGTTACGGAAAAGATACCAGGTTCAGACTTATCTCAGAGGGGTTGGTAGCATGCGGTGAATTAACCCGATGTGGGGAAGAGGTCCCTAGAGGAATCCTTTCAAGAAATAACCCAGGTCAGAGTTAGATGTAAGGAAGAACCAGCCTGTTGCAGCACAGATAATACAGGAAAAGGGCAGCTGCTGAAGGGCCTGGGACAGGGGCAGGAGCATGGGAGCAAGGAGGAGACAGCAGTTAGGATGTGCGGCTCAGGCCCACTCTGACCTCTTATCAGCTGTGGGCCTCCTCCTGTGCCTTTTCTTTGTGAGGGACATAATAGCTGCCAGACTGTTCCCTTACAGTCTGGATTCTGTCTGTGTGGACTCCATAGGGAGACTCTACCTGGAGGCACAGGTAGAAATGGATAAGACAAACCCAGTAGTCTTAAGGTAAGCCTTCGGCACATTAGGTTGACACTGAAAGATTCAGGAAGGCAAAACAGCCCCTCCTCCCCCTCAACTAGGTCAGCCTCTAAATCCAGATCTTTGCAGGGGAGGAGGACAGCTGGTAGGATTGAAAGAATGGTCAGGGGCTGGAGGGGTAACATGGAAGGAAGATTGGAAGGCCAATAAAACACACACACTAAGACATATTTGTCAACCATGGTTGAAGACCTGTGTGTAACTTAGGTTTATAAATTATTTCCTTTTT